TAATACGCCATCTAGAAGTGACCTATTTTATTGCTTTTTCTACTTCTGAAATCCACGCGTACGAAGTAGCGGGCAAAATACTAGTTTCTAAAGAAATTTGCGTATTTGTTACACCATTTATTTTTTAAACTTTATTGACCAATAGAAACTGGTAATAAAAACGGGCTTAATGCTATTCAATCACGCTTTAACAGCTGGACGGATTTGATTGAAATTTTGTATAGATAGGTATAAATAGAATATATTTTAAATTCAATTCCACATTAATAAAGCTGCTAGCTATAGCGTGTTGTAATAATAATTATTATTAGATTTGATTTTTATACTTTCATTAAATATAAAAATAATTATAATTATTATTTAAAAATTATATATCCATAATTATTTAAAAATCATAATTATAGGGTACTATAATTATGATTTTTAAATAATTATGGTCATTATTTAATAAACTTTATTTAATTCGTAGACCAGTGTATACCTCCAGTTGTATTCAACTCGGTTATATAGTATGATGGCACTACTGTAAGAATAACTCAGAAAAGGAACTAAATAAATCCCTTGCTTGAGTTAAGTTTATGATAGGTACACTTTATTATTTATTAATATAGCAGGGAGTCTACCATAAAAATTTACAGTATATCCTAAATAAGAACTACTAACAATAAAGTTTACGTAACGTTCGATCGCTTACCACTTGTGCCAAAGCTTTCTCAGAACATGGGTAGAATTTATCACTTGTTTTTCGGTAGAGAAAATGCCTAGTGCTCTTGATGTTTTGACCATAGCCGAATATATATAGAAATCGATAGCTAGTACAATGTTTGGGTAAAGGATTGGTGTATATCGGTTTAACTTTCTTATAGTATTCAACAATATGAAAACTTTTTTACCCGACTATTGGAAACAGTTATATCTTGACTACATTTTTGGTTCATCGTGTAGAATGTCGCGATAGATATGTATTTATTATTTTTGTTTATTATTATTTCGGCCGTTAACTGTCCACTGCTGGATATACGCCTTCCCCATAAGGGGGGTTTGCCTGTAGTTGCTACGCTTGGCAGGCAGGTTGACAACCACAGTTAGACTTTTAGAGATGTTTAAAAAGGGACGCTGCTGCCCATCCCTCGCCCTCCCTTAGTCGCCTCTTACGACACCCACGGGAAAGGAAAGAGTGGCTCATTCTATGCCGATGCACACACAGCGAACTAACATAATATGGTTATAGTAAAATAAATATTATGACCATAAACTGCATCTAATCCTACAAATTCTTAAACAATGACCAATACTATAATGTTTACCTATTTTCTATTGATGCATAAATTGACGAATCACCTATGGCTATATGTGTTGTCTATGACACAAATTCACTCATACAAGAATAAAACATTTTTTAAACTTGAGTCGCCATCTGTTATAAGGTTTACTAATATTTTATTATACCTCAAGTTTTTAAAGTTTGTACAGATACACTGTATTTAATATATGTTTTTGTAGCTCATGTGTTGCCACTAAAATCTTTTTTTTTTTAATGGTTGTACTGGCTTTGGCTTGTTTCATTTCTTCAGATCGCAACATAATATATGTATTGTCGTTTCATGGCAGATATAAGTAAAAAAATTTGAGCATCCAGGCGATATACACGAAATGTGCAATCTGGTTTTCCTATTAATCTGTGAACAAACTTACCCCCTTATGCATAAAAACTAAAACCTTCAACAAAAAACCTTTTTGAATAATACACTGTTTTGTAACTTTCTTTTAAATTGAGAATTTAGTGTAAAAGAAAGGAGCAAAGCAGTTCAATAGCTAAAATTTATTTATGAGTGGTTTGACTTTTTATGAATAAGAGGGTTTGTATCTAACTTTTTATCGAAATAAATAAATTGATATAATCAAATCGCTGGAATAATAAGGATTTTATATTCACTAATGATTATTTTGGTGTTTGTTATTTTTAGTAACTAAATTACAATATAAAATGATGCCAAAATTATTTACTAAAATGTCAAATAAAAATACAAAAGAATCGACATAAAAGTAGTCGTATTACCTAAGTGGGCGTAACACACTTTTAGCAGGCATTTTTAGATATTTCACTAAGGAGATCAAAGAAAAATTTCGGTTTTTATATGAGTCGAAATATTGAAGAAATACATGAGTTCCCCGAAAAGCAAATCGGAGGGTTGCCCACTGTTAGTCAGATAATTTAAGATATAATTTCGCAAAAAGCAACGATTTCAAATGTGACGCAATTTACTAAATCGGAACCAACATGGGAGTAAATGTTATTGAATGCTAAAACAATTATTAGAATTAATAAATAAAAATTTCGATGCGAAATAAAATACTGAGTCACTGCAGAACAACTTTTAGTATATTAGAACTACTAACTGCATATACCATATTCAGAACTATTCTAACATATTTTCTTGTTATTTTAAACTGAGGTAATCAACCGTGCTGTAGAAGTAACTAAGTTGCGGTCTAAATCTAGTGTTGTTGATAACTCGAAAGAAAATAGATACCTCTGTATTTATTGTACAACGCCAACTACTCTTACATTAGGCAAGTTAGTACCATGGATATTAATTAGATAAGAGATAGAAATACTTAGTTATATTTGTAAATATATACATATTAGGTATGCATAGACACAACCAGACTAATATATACAGACACACTCACGAATACAAATGACTTTGTGGGGATCGAATTTGCAACCATCGGAAGACAGTGTGTTAAATGCATATGTATTCGGTTTGATGATGCTGTCAATGTGTAGTGTATTTTATTTATAATTTTGATATCTTATATACCCTTTCTATGAAGAGCTTCCAGCAAATTGTTACCTCGGGCTATGAAATCCATCTCGACACTTCAAGCCGAACTTTCATCGGTGAAATGCAGAACAAAGATAGCGAATGCCAGGCAGTCCTCGACGAGATACTTTAAATTTCTTATTATTTACTCGCAAATGTTATAATTTTGCAATTTCAGACATTTAACATATTTGATATTTGTTTAGTTTTTGTATTAGATAATTAGGCGATATTCACAAAAACAGTCTTTACTGCTAAGTATTTGGAAACTCGTTGTGTCGGTCCGGCGTAGAATGGGCTACCCCTTCTTTTCCCGTAGGTGTCGTAAGAGACGACTAAGGGAGGATTGGCAGCAGCATCTCTCTTAAAAAATCTGTAAAGCCTAACTGCGGTTGCCAACCCGCCTGCCAAGCGTGGCAACTACTAGCAAAACTCCCCTTATAGGGAAGACTTATGTTCAACAGTGGACAGTTAAGGACTGAATAATAATAATAAATTTGGAAACTCGTCTCCTACGAGTTTCCAAATTTATTATTATTATTTCAGCTCTTGGAAACTCGTCTCCTACTTTCTATGTTTTCTGTTTGTCCTGTTTCTCGTTTTCTTTCTTGCACTGTAAAGAATCTGGTGTAAAAATAACTATATAATAGAAGAGTTCACGGCTTCGTCTGCAGAAAAACCGATTCAGGGGAATTTCATTAAAAAATTACCTTTTTTCGTGGATGTCTACATCACATGAAAAGAATTTCTGTGAAATATTTTCCTAACACTAAAAATAAGGCGCTTTCAACCAAATTTACTATTTTCAGTTATTCAACGACGCTAGTTATTATTTGAATGTAGCCAAATATATTGCAATGCTCTTACAAATTCTATATTACTATGATATTTCGACAAGGAGTACGGTACGGACTCGTATTACGGTACGGTAAATAAACAACTCTACTGATATCCATTTATTTCTTTTAATTCTGGAGTCTTTTAAGTGTAAGTTTTAGAATTTGAATATAGGGTCTATTGAGTTTAAATTTTCAGGTCACCTTTATCCAGCAATTGTATATCATAGGATATGTTTGACTGATTACATATAGAACTGTTGTGTGGTCCCGGCATAGAATAGGGCAGCCCTTCCTTTCCCATGGATGTCGTAAGAAGTGACTAAGGTAACTTAATGGTTGTGTTGCTGCATATGTATATATAACGTCCCTCTTAAAATATCACCAAAAGCGAAACTACAGTTGCCAACCCATCTGCTTAGTATTGCAACTACTGGCAAATCCCCGCCAATTGTAAACTGCCATAAGGAATGGCCCCTTTCTTTTTTAAATTTTATGGAGTAGGCCTATGTTCAGCAGTGGACAGCTAACGGCTGATATGATCATGACATATAGAAGACTAATAGGTAACAGGAATCAGAAAAAAATATCTGTATGAATAGCAGAAGACAGTTGATTGTTATCACCGCAGTATACCATAGAGCATATATTATATTGATAGGGGTACTTATTATTTATTTAAAAAAAATATGACTATAATCTCTAATGGGACAGTCAACGTATTTGCCGATTGTTGTCTAAAATAACATTCGACATGGCCATACTTCACCATCTTTTTTCTATTTAAATTGTAGGAAAATTTTAAGCAAATCTCATCTCCGGACTTCCGTGGTAAAATTTTATCAGTAAAGCAAAGTTAATAGAATGTTGAACTGCCCTCAACGAGATAATTAAAATTCTTCGAATGAACTTGTCACTTTCAATGAGTTATACATATTTTTTAGGTAGATGATCGTTCGACCCTTGTCAGTGATGTACATGAAACCAAACATTTTCATTTTGTTTTGACAATTTCCATAGGAATTTCTAAGTATCTATAATATTTACCACATCTTGTTCGTAGTAACTCTTATTTAATTTGTCTTTAACAGCCCGTATTATTAGTATTATTATTAGTATAGTTTATATTTCTTAAAAAAACTTTGGTTAGGTATATTCTGATCCAAGATATAGAAGCTAATAGAAAGAAAGACCTAAAGAAAGAAAGATACTCAAAACTGAGCAAAGAGGAGGGAATTGAGCTAGAAGTCGGACACTAGCATCAAAAGTTAGGATTTATACACCAAACAAGAATTAATATTTCTTTTAATTTTGGGAGAGCAATAAAAAACCATAATCATGTTTTATGCCTATATTCAGGATCTTAACAATTTAATTTGTCAATAACTATAATAATAATTAAATTAAAAATCTACATGTACAAAAATTGTTTTTATATACATGAATTCATGCAACTAATCTTAATCTAATTGGTAGGTAAATACATAATTATAACGATCATTGTTTCAAAAATTTACAATAACTATCGACATCTATAATGAAATCGACCATTTGACACAATCAAAAAACACTTTAAAGTTTTAAAAACTTCATATTTTTAATGATGTTAAATTTACTAATTGCTATTATTAAAAATAGAAATTTAATGTCACGATACCTGTTCGATATTACACGAAACAATTAAAAATCGACGACGATCTATATAATTATAACATGAATGTATTTCACTTAAACGTGTTACGTATTCGACTTGAAAGATAATACACTAATCACATACACATTTCCTGTAGACAGAGCATTTATAAACAAACCATCCAGCAACCAGTCCACAGACGTTGGCTATAGCTAACACAACTAAATTATCTGCATTACTATTCTCTAATCACAATTAGAATAAATTCGTTTGCCCAACAAACTTAACTGTACCGTCAATTTTACTTTCTTAATTATGTTTCGCTCAGTAACAATTTCTTTCTTTCTTTTTTCTTAATAATAGGGGCTAGTAACCCCATTGCTACCAATATGATGTTTGACTCTGTCAGGGCGACTTTCACGAGGTCTTCCCTGAGAACCATCAAGATTGATTCTACTGAATCCATTACGATAGGCCAACCGATCTGACTTCATCATCACCTATCATTCTTCATTGATATCAGGGCGCCATTCCATTTTTGTCTATTAAAATATTTTTTTTTATTACCTACATTCCATTAACTTCCTAAAACTTTTAATTCCTTAAAGTATTTAATCCAGAAGTCAGAATATTATATCTGATATCATCATATAAATTTGGGCACATAACGTTAGCGAATAGTAATACTGAAAGCTAATATTGGCAGATGCAGTGCATCTCTCAATATTAGTGCATCTATACTTTATATTATATTTACACACACAGGGACGAACGAACATTTGGCACAAGAGGCGTTACACGCACACACGCGGCCCACAGACGCCCTACTACAGGTTCTGAGCAAATATAGGTATGCAGAGAGATATCTACAGAAATACGTCAGCTAGAGATATTCTTACACATGCGACAATACTTTATAATACCATTGTATATTTTTGTTTAATATATAACGAATTTATTGTTAAGCATAAAGGCTGCAATATGTTTATGATATACTTCCATAGTTTTATAAATTCCAATATCTGATAGACTAAACCTCTTATTCATAAAAACTAAAACCTACAAATATATTTCAACTATTACATTGCTTTGTCACTTTCTTTCAAATTGGGAATTTAACTCAAAAGAGCAAAACGGTTCAATGGCTAAAATAAGTTTATGAGAGATTAGACACTTTTATGAATTATGTTTGATAGTCTATTGTTAATGTTCCATTTTTATCATTTTTACATAGTTATATTAATGTAATAATAAATAATGTCGAAAGTTAAACAATTAAATACTCTTAACACATTAACAATGATATTTTATTTCATGAAATTTACTCAATAAATAATGTCTGCTTAAAGAATTGTCACAAATGTAACGAAGTCTCGTGACTCCATCTACTAATCTCGACTTACAATGTATTATATAATATTATGTATTAGTGAGTTCTTATTCTACAATATTTACATCTCACAATCAGTCGTATAGTTAATATTTTGGCAGATAATTTTATTTTAAAACTACCTATTTAATTACAAGAAATGTGATCGCAACATTCAATGTACATTTCAAACGCAAATTAAACCTTTTGGTTGGCACCACTGTTGGCACTGTATGGTCCTTAATAGGCCGGACTAAAAGCAGCTATATATTAAAAAATGTATATAAATTCTGAAATTTCTAATATTGTGATGACGATAAAACATTTCACAACCTGTTACTGATGTTCGATATTTAATGAATTATACAAGCTGTACTATGAGGGTGATAGTTGAGGTTAGATAGAGGATATTGTCAAGAGTATGTTAAGTCTCAGAAGATTTAGGATTCGCTAGAGAATTCTAGAAATTGCTGTCGTAGTCGGAACGCCGTCGGCCGTAGTGCGAGCGCGGGTATTCGCCCGTATACCCGTACACCTGGGACCCACCGCCGGTCTGCCCGTACAGCTGTGATCCCCCGCCGCCATATCTATTGACAAAATTACCATGAATCCCTGGTTTTATTAAATTTTGTACGTACATTGCGACCGAAATAAAAATTAACGTTAAAAACCTTGGACCGATCAATTGTCTTTTTAAAAGTATAGTTTTCATTAATCCTTATATCTTAGTAGCTCAGGTAAATATTTAGACTCATTAAATACTATTTTAGAACGTATTGCGTACTATATAAGTATAAAAATATAGTTTAAGTATATGGCCTTTTTCTGCAACTTAGAACGGCAAACATTCTAATGGTCCACTTGATGGAAAGTGGTAACAGTCGCCTATGGTTATGAACAGTACCAAGGATATAACAGAGTATATTCTGTCGCTCAAGACACCCTGTATGCGTTGCCATTCCTGAGAACTAAGGTGTTTATGTATATGCCTCTGAACACTGTAATTTTATTGTCATAACCCACCCTTTAAACCAAAACACAGCCATGCAAACACATGCAAACATGCTTTACGGCAGAAACAAGAATGGGGCAAAGATACTCAAGTCGACGATTTTTATACAGTCTCAATCTGGTTATTATGCAGTCTTAGGAAAACTTCTTCATCTGAGAAACCTTTAAATTTTTAGAACATTTTACATTAACAGGATATTTATCCTGTTAATGTAAAATGTTCTAAGTAGATGAGATTTTAAATACTAGCATACATTAATATTATATAAATAAATACACAAACCGCGAAATTTTAATTTTTAATAAAGAGTATAGTCAACAATAGAATAAATAGTATATAAATAAATAAGAAAATTAAAAACTTGGACATTTTACCCGTATCCATTCCCGACCGGCCCATATATTTGTGAGCCACGTCCTGAGTCTGGAGTGTAGTGCTGCATGTATTTCTGCAGCTGTGGCGTCCACTCCGACCGCCAAGAGTCACCCGGGTTGGGATACGCTAACTGTTCGATGAAAGCAGTCGACATACGCTGTAAATCAATCAAGTATTTTTATATAACTTATGACAGTAAGTAAGTCCAATTAATCTGATGGATGTTAATGGATCACATATACATTACATGTATACTTTTCATTATTATTTCTAAGGACTAAGATCTTATGCCTTCGTAATCAGTAATTTATAAAATTAACTAAGTTATTAAATTAATTTTATTCAAAGAGTGTTTTTCAATAAAATTTTGTTACATTTTCATTTAGTTCTATTGAAACAAACCACAATTTCATAAATTATGTTCGTACTTAATTCTTAAATTAAATAGAGTATATTTACAAAATAAAAAAATACCGTTGTTATAATTACCTTTCCTGACGGGAGGTATGGTAGTTCCCTTTCCTTTAACTGATGCATATCATCAAAACCTCCCATATGACTTTTATCCAGCTCACGAAGCATATCCTCGCTGAGAGGGATCGGTGCTTTGGCTTTGGCACTTTTTTGTCGATTCACCAACTAAAATGAATACGAATAAATTTTAGACATGGGTCTCAGACTTAGATATTACAAATATTATTTTACATCAACAAATGTTTCATTTTAAATCATTATGGAAATCGAATAACAAAATATGCATATCCCTTAGACATATTTTACATCTCAATTCTGTCGCCTAGATAGTCAGTAGGTATAATCATGTTAGTAGAATATGTTGTTGTCAGATAGATAATAATTTTAAGAAGTTTAAATTGCGTTTAAATTCCATTGTTTCTGCCTACCCTAATGGGAGACAGGCGTGACAGATATGTATGTATGTATGTATGTATTTAAATTGCGTAAATTGTGATTAAAATAATTAAATGTAATCAATTGTATAGACAAAATTTTTAAATTGTTAAAGATATCCATATAAGTCAACTATGTACATCACTTTAAATAAAATTAGTACAATAATTGCAATATATATAAATAATAAATATACATAATTGTGTAATGTGTAGGACTTCCACAATTATATATATTTATTATAAACACAACCATAATTTACGCATCTTTTTCACGTCTATTTCTGATGGATAGGAAAACATTAAATAGAAAAAACCTTAAAGTTGAAAGTTGGCACTTGGCCTTTATACACTTAAGTAAATTTACATACTTGAGTGTATACAAGCAAGTTTTGTATAAATAATTTAAAATTAAATTGTGAACTACTTACCACGGTGACACCAAAAATGACGACGAAAAGGAGTGAAGCCAACGCTATAACAATAACAGCGATACCCCATTGTGGTAGAAATGATTCTTCCTCAGGTTGAACTGGCGTTGGTTCCTCGCGTTTCGGTAATACTGTAAAAGGTTAAATGTTAACTTCTAAATGTGTATCAAATTAAAATAATAACATAAGAATCAGCATTTGTAATTACCAATAAATTCCGTATACGCAGGATCCATAACAAACTTTCCAATTTCCAATTTTCCAACAGATTTGTCAATTGTTTTTGTCATCTTCTCATTACTTTTTCTCATTCTTTCTTCATCAGGTTGATCTCCCAACATCATATCAGAATCGAACTCTTCTTTTGGTTCATCAGTAACCTCTTCAACTACAGAACCTGGTTTGGCTTCATGAAGAGATTTATGGAACATTTTCTTTAGATCTAAAGTGTCTACTCTTTCATCGACATCATTGAGTTCAATGAAATAGTCAACAAGCACTGAGCCTGGACTAAATCCATCTATTCGAATATTTTTATACCATTTCTTCAAATAATCTGATTTTGAATATACAGAATTGAGCTGCAAATAAAAAGCACAGATTTATTTTTATGCACAATTGGCAAAAAGTGGCACATTTTTTAAAGATATTCATAAAAATACTTACTTCGTCTTTTACATCGTTTGCTAATCTTTGCCACTCTTCCGTATGGCGATCTAATAATTCTGGTAACCATTTAACTCCTGCAAAATCAAATATACTCTATATTCTTGTGTATTCATAAATATGCAAAAAAAGTATTTAGTAGCGTATAGTATCGTAATTATAGTAGTAGTAGTAGATTCGGCCCTACTTCATACGAATAGATAAAATTAAAAAAAATACATAATGCAGCCTATGTTATTTGTTGATAATGTAGCTTTCTATAGCAGAAATAGTGAAAATATTTTTAAAACTAGTTGAGTAGTTTTTTAGTTTAACTAACTTTTTAGTTTAACTAACAATCAAACCTTTTATCTTTGTAATATATATTTATGAATGAATAAGTATAAATGAGTATACTTTATTTGCATTATACAATATAGGAAATAAGCAAGGCAATTTACAAACACGACGATACAATTGTATAAGTACAGTAAGGCGGTCTTATTGCTGAGAGCAATTTTTTCAAGACCACGTTAAGGTAATGGACTAATTGTTGTACAAGCAGGTATGATAGTGCTATATAATTAAAAAATCATCTATTTATATATATTATAAAGATAGTATATTTAGATAAATAAAACATGATTCTTTGATAACAAGGATACTGCATCGCGCAAGGTAAGAACACTAGCGTGATATTAGTATTTTAAAATGGCGCACCATGAAAAATATATTTACCCGCAACAATTTTTATAGTAGCTGCAATATCACACTCCTTTCGACATACTCCAGGAGTAGTTGATGGTGGTGGCTTAGGTGTAGTTGTAGTTGTAGTCGTAACACGTCGTGTCGTTGGTTCGGTTGAATAATCGGGCATTGGGCTAGTAGCAGTGGCGTTCCTTTGTGCCTCAAGAAGCTTCTCTATAGAAAAGGGTGTCGTAGATGGCGATGGCCAACCAGTAAATTCAGTCGATGCTCTGGAAGTACAGAAAGCATTTAAAATTATTTTGAATTTCATAATAATTGTTAAAAATTCAAATAATACAAATAAATCAATATTTACCTTGTTGGCCAACCTTTCTGAATTTTAGGCGTGACAGGACTTGGACCTAATCCACCGCTAGGTTTTGGTGTAGTTTTTCTACTAGTTTTGCTACCCGGCCTTGAAGGGAAGACTAATTTTATACCACCAGGAGCTTTCGTAGTAGAGCTTGGCGAAATAACTTCTTCTGAAGAGTTAATTTTGAAGCCAGGGGGCAGTAAGCTTGACACATCAGCAACTTTGAACTTTGTCAGCTCATCATTTCCTTTTTCACTTGTATTTAATTTGAATCCAGGTGGTAAAAAGGCAGATATATCTACTGGAACAGCATTAGCTGGTAATTTAGGTTTGTCTATAGATTTTTCTGTTGTAGTTGTTGCAGTAGAATTCAAGTTATATCCTTTTGGTAAAAATGCTGAAATATCAATTTTTTGAGCCTTATCTATAATGTCCGGTTTTGTTACATCTTTCGATTCTCTGGTATCAGAATGAGGTGGTTTATAACCAGGCGGTAAGAATTTACTAAGATCGTCTTTTTGTAGTTTTACTAATAAGTCTTCCTGTGTTTTGTGTTCTTTTGGCCTATATTCTTTAGGAAGTAAAGATTTTCCATCTAAAACTATTACCCTATTCTTGGTATTAATACCTGAAGAGCGTCCTTGTGTGCCATTTATTATATCTTCAGTTGATGAAATTGGTATACTAGTAGTAGCTATTGTTGATGTGGGAATGGTAGTTGTAGTCGTTGTACTAGTACGTTTATCTTTATATGACATTCGAGACTTATATCCAGGAGGCAATAATCCAGCCAAATCGTCCATTACTGTAACTAATTTCTTTTTTGGTTTGGGAGTTGTCGATGTTGTAATTCGAGGAGTGAATTTCTTTATCATTACGGGTAATGGATCTGGAGATGATCTGTCTGTGGATAATGTAGATTGAGTACTTTTAAGAGTAAAAACATTTAAAGAAGACGGAGTTGTAGTTGTTGTGGTAGTCGTTGTTGTACTAGTTGTTAATTCTGTTGATGATTCAGTTATTAATTCTATATTTTTGTTATCATTATCCAATGATCCAGATAAAACAGCACTAGATAGTTCAGATTGAATACTATCCAATTTGTCATTAATATTTTCTGTAGATGAACTACTTACAAGATCACTTAAATCGGACATTGGGTCTTTAGTTACTAATTCTTCTTCTTCATCTAACTGGTCATTGGTTAAAACTTGTTTTTTTCCTTCTTGACCTACTGCGGGAAAAGGTAAAAATCGGGCACCAGATACACTTCTACTCGTCTGAACAGACGCTACTACGATTACATTTTCTGTGGTGCTTGTAAAATCTTTACTTTGTTTGTTTTGTGAAGTAATGGGTTCTGGTGTTACATTTATTTTTGTAGTAGTAGGTGCAAAAGTAATATCAGGTATAGATATTGTCCCATTAACAACACTTTTTGTGGTTACTACAGATACCACTTCTTGTCCTAAAATAGAGGGTTGTTCTACAGAACTGATATCTTCACCAGATATAGGTACATTACTAAAATTAGTTTTATTAGATATTTTTTCCATTTGATCAATTAACGGCGTATCGACAAATTGCTTAAAATTATCGTCTTTAACCATTGTATTAACTGGTTTTGTTATTAATATATCAAATGGTTCTGTAACATTTGATTTAACTTCACTGTCGGGTTTATCAGGCTCTTCAGTTGAATCATATTCATCATAAATGTCAGATGTATGTACAGTAGTCTGAGGATGTTGAGTAGTATGTTTAACTTCGGAATCTTCTGAATCTTCGTAATATTCATATTCTTCACCTTCTTCGACTTCGTGACTTTCTAAATCATCGTTTACATTATCATTTTCGGTAGGTTTTACAGTTGTTGATGTTTTGCTAACAGGCAGTGATGTTGTTCCACTCAATTTAACATGTGGTGGCATGTCTTTGGAAATATTATCTGAATTCATAGAACTAGCATCTGGCTTATTATCTGCAGCTGCTTCTATTTCACTATAACTATGATTAGATTTTATAACTTCAACATCAAATGAGCCCTGTTTATTTTTCATTAATTCCCTGAAAGAGCTAATATCACTAATATCATCCTCAAGTAAAGGTTCCAAATCTAATAGAGCTTTGTATTCGGTTGAAGAACTGTGATATAATTTACTATCAGGTTTTATTGATTCTGCATTATTTCTTGTAAATGGCTTATTTTGAGTAGTATGTAAATTAGTTTTGTCATCTAATGTAACCGAATCATAATGATGGAATGAAGAAATCTTAGGTTTTGTATTCAGTCTTGACTTGCTTGGAAGTCTACCGGGGTTATAAGTAGTAACTCTATGATGCTCAAAAAGATCTTGATTTTCATTGTCAATATCTTCGTCATGTGAAATGTGGCCACTTTGTCCATTGCTTTTTAAACTATTATTATCAAAAGGTATATTTTTGAATCTACTATTTCGCAAATAGTCAATATCAGGATTGTTAATTGTGATTTGACCTAAAAAGGTTTCGGGTTTCGATGGATCATTTTGATACGCAACAGAATGTATTTGTGATACATCAGGCCTCTTAGTTGAAGCTGGGTGAATCATTTGAAAATTATAAGGAAGAGCTGGCCTGAACCTTTGTCGTTGTGGTGGTGGAGGACCACTGAATTCTGGTTGGTTTACATAGTATTGTGTACCTGATTGACTTCTACCCGTAGGCAATTGAAATGGTGATGGATTTTGGTTGTAATTAGGGCTTGGAAACCTAACATGTCCTTCATTGTAAAGAGGTTGTTGTGCGGGCTGCGTTCTATAATTATCCCCATGTTCAAAGAATGTCGATGGACGACTATTTGGAAATAAAGGCGGTTGAACTTGAGCAAAACTTCTTTCCACCGGTGTATAGTAGAAGTCATTTTCATCTGAAAACAAAAGAAAAACTTATTATAGTAATATGACTAAATAAAATAAAAAAAATATACCCATCAATTTTAAAATTAATTTACACATTATCAATCTTAAAATTTTGAAAACATTCCTTTCTTTTTCTTTTAATTGAAAAAGTTTAATTTCTGAATAATTTCATGCTCATTTTGCTATAATCGAAATCGATTATGTACATAAAGTATTACAAGATTATTATTATCTTAAAAATCATATAATAATTAACGGTATTGAAAAATATGCACAGATGTTTTGTATTACGTCAATCGTAACCAGACCGTATGCATTTCATTATGTTCCATTTGCGTATGGAATATATTTCCAATTTTTAGTTACTGTTGCAGAATTTTTACGAACTGGAATACGGACATAGCTAAATTTAATTTCTGTAAATTGAAACCCATATATTTCAATTTGTTGAAACATTAACGTTCCGCGAAATAAATGGAAGTTAAATTGTAATTTTAGGAGTTTCTGGTGTGCGAAATTTAGATAATATGAACAAAAATAATATTATGATATCCAAAGTTAAAGTCAACATTTTACAATAAAAAATTTACAATCTAAATTTTGAAACGTAAAATTTGCCTAATGTATAAATAGATTACCAAAGTATACTTTTACTTAAAAAAGTAGTTACCTGCGATTTCGTTTGTGTGTACTTATTTCTTATTTTACTTATTAAATAAATTTAATCAAAATTATAAAGCAAAGACAGCTTTTCAATTTTCTAATTCGAGATCTGAGCCAATTCTTCACTTAATAATTGTGGCCTTTAAAAAACAGCAAAATAATTCATTTGTGAGGAACTTTTATATAGCCAATATGTTAACTACATGGTAGCTTAATATACAACACAGTTAGGCTGCCTGTTTTAAAATGCTAACATATAAATAGACTAACCAACACACAAAGAGTATAAAATTCTAGAAGCATCATTTTCGTTTCAGTATTGCATGCGCGACATTTATATAAACTTCATTACTAACAATATTTAATGTACCTATAGTTTTGAATTCGTTTTGATTCTTTTATAATGTAAAAATTATAAAATTCGTAGTCCTAACACATTAAAACTTTTATCGGAGAGAATGCATATCCAATTATTATATAGTAAAAGCATTTTGGGTCATCCCATGAAATATATTTGACAAAAGGCGCAAAGACGACGCTCGGCTAATCTTCTTTTATGACCTTTCCAGTTTATTATTACGTTTCTGGTTGGGGCTCCATATCGTTCGGAAAGATAATCTCAAGGAAATTACTTTCTTGCGGATCATATCCCTAATTAAGAAGGGCGGACGATCCTCATCAGTGCTTGAGTGGAAGCTGCGTTGAACATAATAGGAAATCGATAAATTGGGACACTTATTACTTGAGAGATCCTATTGAAAATATTTTTAATGGAAGGCTCTGACAATGATCTTCCAATTAGTAGCAAGTAGTTTAGGTAGTCAGTCAGTCCGGCAAGCATTATATATATATACTAGCCGACCCCGTAAACGTTATTTGACCACTTATATATTATATTATATTATATTATGGTGTTTATTACCAAACTCCTCCGAAACGGCTTTACCGATTTTTATGAAATTTTGTGTGCATATTGGGTAGGTCTGAGAATCGGCCAACATCTATTTTTCATACCCCTCAATGATAAGGGTGATCCTTCCAAAAAAATTTTTTTTTATTTTTTTAATATTTTTTTTCATTTTTAATTTATTATGGTTTAGCATTGAAAAATACACACAACTTTAAATTTTCATCGTTTTACGATCAACCCCTGTCTTTTAATCGCGATTTTTATATTTCGCAATAAGTGGTCAAACAACGTTTACGGGGTCGGCTAGTATATATATATATATATATATATATATATACATACATATATATATATATATATATATGTATGTATATATAAAATTTAATTGCAAATTATTGAACGAATTCAAAAATATGAATAATCAAAAGGCACAAGTATATACGAATAACTATAAAATTATCAGAGCAACAACTTCGATAATTGGAAAAGTCAATAAACTAGAATATTCCATGCCCATGCATGTTTTATTCGTACCACGGCAAATTGGAGGTGTGCAGTACAGCATATGTGAGCAGAGTTCGTTAATCCAAATTTATTGGCACAAAATGTACGCAGACGTGGGCCTGATATATTCTACACCCTGAAGTTAACGGTAAAGATTTGCTAATTGCAATATCAACATAAATTAATATTGATCGTGGCATCTGCATTTGTTTATGCAAATGGGGTTCGAGAGACTTTAGGCGAATGACTGATTTTTGATGAAGTCTAACTTATTTATGTCGGATAAAAGCCCTCCTTGACTAAATGGCAACGGAGATGACTATAAGTCTACAAACAGTATTAATTATGTGAGGTAATTTTTTTTTCATTTGCATCCAACCATGTGTGTCAAATGGTAGATTTTAAATAATCAAATTTACTAATGATCGCCGTGTGGTCGAGATTTGAACAGAATTAATTTAAATTATAAGTTTAAACATTAGTAAAGTTCTAATGTCAAAGACTACACCACTATCCAAGTAATACAAGACAAATAATATGAAGGACATATAATGTGTTTGACATTTAGTAAGGGTATAGACAAGTAATATTAAAGACAAACAATATTAACCTATTCTCAATTTGACCACATACTTTAACAATAAACAAAATACATACTCATACGTGTGTGAGTCAAATACATGGTAGTGTGTGTAATGTTTTTTTTTATTGATTGAATGTATTTTATATGCATAATTGAATATATATATATATATATATATATATATATATATATATATATATATATATATATATATATATATATATTAGTATTTTGCACTCTTTCTCTATACAAATCATGAGTGTGCGAAATTTCATACTCCTTCATCCGCGCAATTTTCGTAAAAAGGAATATAAAGTTTTTGCTTCACGTATATATAATAACATATAGTTAATATGTTCATGTATAGGTATATATGTATATTAACAAAATCAGGTAGGCCTAATTTTTTATTTCAATAAGAGAGTATAAGAAGTTGATATGTGATTTTCATTGAGCCCCCCAATATAAATGAGATTTGGTGAGATTTTGCCAGACCCTTCTCCCCATTTTGAGGTCACAGGATGCACTCGGAGTTTTTTGTGACCTATCAAAGGCATTTGATTGTGTGGATCATAAAACGCTTTTGTACAAGCTCGAACATTATGGTATAAGAGATAATGATCTAAAATTAATGAGAACTTATTTAGAGGATAGGGTTCAAACTGTAGATATTGACGGTGTAAAATCTAAGGGAGCTAATATTAAGATGGGCGTTCCACAAGGGTCAATCTTAGGCCCCTTTCTCTTTTTAATCTACATAAATGACCTTCCCTTTATGGTAGAGAAAATTGCAGATATAGTGCTGTTTGCGGATGATACTTCGTTAGTGTTTAAAATTGGACGTCAAAGTAATCAATTAGACGATGTAAATTGTGCTATGTCTGCAATATTAAATTGGTTTACATGTAATAACCTATTATTAAATTCCAGCAAAACAAAGTGTATAAAATTTACACTTCCTAATGTAAGACTAATAAATACACAGTTATTGCTTAATGACGAAATAGTAAATTTTGTTAATGATACAGTTTTTTTAGGTATAACAGTGGACTCGAAATTACAATGGGGGCCCCATATTTCAAAATTGGCCAGTAGACTCAGTTCTGCTGCATATGCAATTAGAAGAATTAGGCAATTAACAGACGTGGCGACGGCTAAACTTGTATATTTTAGTTATTTCCATAGCATAATGTCTTATGGCATACTGCTGTGGGGTAAAGCAGCCGATATAAATACTATATTTGTTTTACAAAAGAGAGCCATACGTTCTATTTATGGTATGGGTTCAAGAGAGTCATTACGTCAGTGCTTTAAAGACTCAAATATCCTCACAGTTACTTCACAATACATTTATGAAAATATTATGTATACACGGAAGAACTTAGCGAGTTTTAAAAAACTCAAAGACTGTACAAGTAGAAACTTACGCAATATAAATAAGCTTATTTTACCTAAATGCCGTCTGCACAAAATCAGTAATTCATTCTATGGTAATTGCATAAGATTTTATAATAAACTGCCGGAATCTGCATTAAATCTGACAGAGAGGCAATTCAAATCTTATATTAAACAATTTTTATGTAAGAAAGCCTATTACAGGATAGACGAATTCATAGATGACAACATATCAAGTAAATAATTAGTTTATTAGCATACAACGTTATAATTTTATTTTCTCATTGCTTTCTTGATTTAATTGATTAATTTTAGAAATATGAAAGCGTAGCGGTTTTTTGTATTAATTGCCGCATGCATTCTTATGTAAAATGTGAATACTATAACTATCAGATGGCAATTGTGAGTAGCTTTGACGTGGTCTAGTGTTTTGAGTAGTCATGCTCACTAAAATGTCCAGACTTGTGGCGGCGTGGTGGGCCGGGTCATTGGGCTCCCTAAAATATGGTCGAGCGCAGTGATGGCTGGCTCATCCGTCATACTCGTGAACGGGTGCTGCTTGTAGGGACTGGTCTGCTCTAATCACTATGACTGATTTCCTCTTATTAATTGTTTAACCAGTTGGTTATGTATTCAATTTTTTTTTTCTTTTTGAGTATTTAATTGAATTAGTGCTAATTGGTGGTTTGTATTCACACAATTAAACTTAAAAATGTAAAATAATAATAAAATTATTTAAAAGAGCATCACGCAAGTTTCTTGCTCGTTCTTCTTGTGATGAGACAGCTTTCCGAACGAGCGGTAAATTAAAAAAAAATGTTATGACTTTTCAAAAGTGCTTCAATGTAAGTTTATTTGAATAAATGATTTCTATTCTATTCTATTCTATTTTAAGCTCATGTAAGCTTAAAATAGGAGGGCAGGGGAGGGAATTAATGGACTCCCTAATTGAT